TTTGGGCGTCTTTACCAAGTACTGGCAAATTCCATTCGTACCTAAGGAGCAGTTATGTCTTTTTGTTATCCAGATATATAATCAACATAGCGTCTGTAAGCAGCAGTTTACAAATCATCTTTCGCCCCTTTTGACCCCAGTTCATTGTTCATAAATTCCCCCATAGATTTTTCTAACTATTTTGTTATCCACATGATACAGGGTTCTAACACATGGGTCAGTAGGGGAATAAAAAATATATATATATTGCCTGCCTTACAATTCAGATAATAAAATTGGAAAATAAAACTTCAAGGGAAAATGTGGTTGGGGGAGTTGATAAGTAACAGTGGGAAAACATTTTTCAGGGAATGTGAAACACTCCTAAAATAGTTAATGATTTAAATGCAGACAGTGAACCTCTCCAGGGATATATGAGGTTTTACTATAATCTCACAACATAGTGCTATGGAATATGTTGGCTGATATTGGAATTCTGCTCATAATAAAAGGAATTTTCTCCTAATAAAAAATTAAATAGGGTTTATAGGAGAAATATTTTCACAGGATAAATCACACAGGACAAGGCAGGAAAAGTCCAACTTGATTACACAATTATAATAAAAAAAACCTTTAGATTGTAAACTGACCATGGGCTATCTAACTAAGATAAAAACCTTTAAAGTAAGTTAACATCTGATTGTTTTCATGCAAACTGTCAGTCACAGCCAGGGGAGGTGTGGTTAGGGTTGCATAAACATAAACAAAAGTGATTTAACTCCTAAATGGCAGAGAATTGAGCAGTGAGACTGCAGTGCCATGTTCTATACACCAAAACTGCTTAATTAAGCTTAAGTTGTTTGGTGACTATAGTGTGCTTTTAAGGTCTCCACAGATACGTCAATTTGGCAGGTGCTGAGTGATCTAATCAAATTTTTAAAAATCCATATTTATGTTATCAATCTTTTATTGAATACCCAAAGTGATTATAATTCTTTGTATTTGGCTGAGGATTTTCATAACTCATGTTCACTTTGTCCAATTAGTTTAACATATACACTCTCTGGAAACCAAATGACGTTGCACCTTTTTGGTTAAGATTATCTCTTATTCTAAATTCTGTAGCAGACTGGGATGCTAGATGGAGCGTTAATATCACTTATGCCCCTACTTGCACCTCAAGTGTGGAAGCTTTTAAAGTCTGATGTTATGTATTTAATTCAAATAGCCAAACTTTAACACCCTTCTGAAGACATATATACAAAATAAATAAAAACTGGGGTTTGAGATAACATATTAATATGACTGACAAAATAGAATGAGAAGTCTAGGTTCTCAACGTGTTCCTAGAACTTGTGAGACCCATGCTTCAAGTAACACATTCTGGTTAGTATCAGATAAATCATGAAACATACAAAAATTTACTTTTCAACTTAGCTAAGTGCATTCAGGCTTTCAGATCCATACATTTGGATACAACCACTGCCATTAAAACATCATAAAATGTTCTTTTACATGGCTTACTGTGTATGTTTTTGAATGCTAAGCTAAAAGGAATGCATGTGATGGATGAATGTGTTTGTTAAAACTTCTGTGCCCAGAACATCTCATGCTGTACTCTAATAAACTTCCACAACCATTAAGGTTTTTATTGGTAAATATAACATACATTGGTGACAAACATATTGTGAGCTACAGAAATAATTATAGAAATGTGTTGGATTATAAAGGTGGTTATACCATTCCCAACAGTACAGGCCTCTACCAATGAATGGTCATGCAGACAATCTATAAATGAAGAAGGTTGAAAATTACAGTAATTTCACTGTAGTGTGGTTACCTTTCAACATCCATGAAGTCATGTAGAACATTTGGGTAGCAGACAAATATTCTGGGGGCTATATTCCCCTTGGCTAATGTGAGCATTCAAAACTTACAGGATTATTCACTAAACACCACAATTTTGGAGAAATTGAGGGCACACCCAGAACATGTATTTCTCAGTAGTAGTACTGCTGTAAAAACCAACATTCATACAAAGTACAGATAAAGGAACAGCTCACATACAAAAATATAATTTTAAAGGGACACTATAGTAACCAGAACAACTAAAGGCTAAATGTGGTTGTTCTGGCAAGTATAATTATTTCCTTCAGGCATTTCAGAGAAAAGGCGGTGTTTACATTGCTCCCTAGGGACACCTCCAGTGGCTTCAGATGGGCACTGGAGGTGCTTCCTGGGGAGGTTCTGCACAATGTGCAGCACTGCTGTTATGCGTCTTTACGCTCTGCATGGAGACACTGAATTTTCTTCATAGAGATGCAGCATATGTATGTGTCATTCGCTGGACCGTTGGGGGTTTACTTGAAACAGGATGTGAAGGAAAAGTAATGGAAAAGGGAGTTCAGCAAAATGTTCTTACTTCTTCCCTTGGAGGACTTTATTAACCTCAAGTAGGAGGACAAGAAGGACAAGAAGAAGGAGGAGGAGGAGAAATGGAAGCGGTATGGTAAGATACTGAAGTCTTTCGGAAATTGGTTAAGGGCGTTCTGCTTCCTGACCAGCATTCTAGGCGAGAAGTCACCGGGGCTGTGTGCGTCACTGTTCTGCTACTTTGACGGGATCTGGGAGGTGTACCGCACGTACGGCGGGCTGGCGTGGTGGAAGTACGGCTAACAGTTCCGACAACCGCTAGCGGCTAATCCGGGTATGCAGTGGGAACAGATGGACCCGCCTCTCTGGATGAAGCTGATGATGACACAGAAGGGGCAGCCCTTTCAGCAAACAGCCGGCGCAAGGGGGCAGGCCGCTTCGTCGGCCGCTTTCCAAAAGCGCTTATGCTGTCTCTTCAATGAAGGCCAGTGCAACTGGGGGGCTGCCTGTCATTTTAAGCATGTGTGTTTGGATTGTGGGGGCTCCCACAGACTCAACCGGTGCTTTAAGAGGGGTAAGACTGTGGGAGCTGGGGGGTCTGCCTCTGCTGGAGAGGCACCCCCTGCGGTAATAGGTCAGATGCCGAGTTGCTGCAGGCAGGTTTTGGGTCGGGTTTCTTCATTTCCTTTCGGGACAGGGGTGGGTCACAGGGGTTGCGCAATCTGCGGTCGAGGCGGAGTTTCCAGGGGTGGTGTGGGAGAAGCTGGCGAAAGAAGTGCAGTTGGGCAGGATGGCAGGCCCTTTCGTGGTGCCTTCTCTGGCTAATTCATGGTTGTCTCCTCTTGGTGTCCCCAAGAAGGACCCTGGGAAGTTTTGACTCATTCACCACCACTCCTACATGAAGGGGGCGTCAGTGAATGACAACATCAATAAGGATCTATGCTCGGTCTCTTATGCATCATTCGACCATGCAGTCTAGTTGGTTTAGAGAGCAGGGCATGGGGCCTTTATGGCTAAGGTTGATGTGGAGGCTGTGTTTCACTTGCTTCCAGTCATCACTTGCTGCGTTGCTTCTTTGTCGACTTATGCCTCCCGATGGGCTGTTCGATTTCTTGCTCTTCCTTTGAAAAATTCAGTTCCTTCCTGGAGTGGGTGGTTCGGATGGAGGCGGGGATTAAATCGGTGGTGCACAACCTGGATGATTTCTTCTGCGTGGGGCCGGCGAACTCCTCGGCTTGTCTTCACCTGCTGCAGACCATCGAATGGGTGGCGGAGCAGTTCGGAGGGCCGCTTGCGGCAGGTAAGATGGAGGGCCCAACAGAGTGCATTAGTTTCCTGAACCATGGAGATAGATTCGGAGCTAAGTGAGTATCGGCTGCCTCAGGATAAGCTGGTGGGACGTGGTGACTGAGGTTTTTCGGTCAAGAAGGTGACCCTTCGGCCGCTGCAATCACTCATTGGAAAGCTCAGTTTTGCTTGCAGGGTGATTCCGATGGGTCGGATTTTCAGCCCAAGCCTGTCTTCGGCTACGGCGGGTGTGCAGTCTCCGTACCATTTCATGTCGATGTCGTCATCCCATGCAGGCTGATCTGGGGGTGTGGGATGCGTTCTTACGGAAATTCAATGTTACAGTGTTCTTTCGGCAGGCAGGGGTTTCGGTTGCAGATCTTGAACTCTGTTGCGGCGCTTTGTTTATTCTGCATGTCTCTCAGTGTAGTCTTCTGTAGGCGGCATGTGCCCGGGTATTTGCACGTGGTGGCTGATGCTTTGTCTTGTTTGCAGTGGTCTCGGTTTCGGATGGTGGCTCCCGGAGCGCATGAGGTGGGGCAGGCCTTCCCAGACGAGATGTGGCAGCTCGGAGCGTCTTGCTTGGGGATACGTAAGAGCATCTTTGGCACCAGCCACATGGGCTGCATACAGTAAGGTCTGGCATTCGTGGGAACGCTCGTGGGGTAAGATGGATCAGGATCAGGATCAGGCCTATGGGCGGTTTGAATGTGCGCCCGGCTCTTGACACGCATGCGCATTTGGCGCTGACGTCGGCAGGAGGAGGAGAGTAAGTGGCTGAAGGGGTTTTATGAGGGTGGGAGGAACTAAGGACTACATAGTGCCAGGAAAACGAGTTTGTTTTCCTGGCACTATAGTGGTCCTTTAAGTGTTCGTTTAAGCTGAGTCAGTTATAGTCTTCCTGCAACTCAAACCACCTGTCTGTCAACATCAATTATGGGCCTATAAAGGAGAGTTAAAGTGACAGTATAACATTATTTAAAAGTGTTGTTTAAAGATTGTAAACCAGAATGCAAACAATAGATGTAAAATTAAATAATATATGCCATTTCTTTAAAAATAAACTCCTTACATCTTTGTATTCCTTCCAGACCCGGTGAAAATTCACAGATCCATCTTTGCGGTGTTGGATAACAGTCCAGCCTCCCCCACTAGTCTCCATGTCACACAGGGCCTGATGAATAAGTAATGTAATATTTATATAATACATATGACACCATACTAAAGCATGTATTGTTACATTTATTAGGGGTTCATAAATTAAAGTAGAACATTTATTGAAAACAGGAAAGGCTGGATTTGATGTTTAGTGGGCAACAAAAACACAATGATATACACTGAACAAAATTATAAATGCAACACTTTTGTTTTTTCCCCCATTTTTCATGAGCTGAACTTGGCAAAGGAGAATTGCTCACTAACACAGATTTAGACATATTCGTGAACATTATTTGAGAGAAATATGCCTTTTGTGTACATAGAAAAAGTCTTAGATCTTTGAGTTCAGCTCATAAAAAATGGGAGCAAAAACAAAAGTGTTGCGTTTAGAATTTTGTTCAGTGGAGTCAGCGTAGTCAAGTGACAGGAATATGTTCACATTTGCTGTGAATGTGATAAGTAATGTGTATTTACTTCTTATACTGGACCTCGACCCGAGCATGGTAACCATACAAGATGTACAGAACTGTATGTAGAAAACAAGGGTAGAACGCAGCAGAGCACTGCAATAACACAGACACAAACACAATATAGCTGAGCGGATAGTAGGAAGAGACATGGACCCATAAAAGATTAAGGATAGATTGTTAAAATAATGCAACATACTATAATGAACTGTGATGTAGAAACAACTGGAGATCATTTGACATTATGAAATGCCAGAAATGAATGTGTAGCACAATATGATAAACTATCAAAGGGGGAATTACACAGGCAATGGGCATATGTTTCTGTTTTATAGTTGAAATATTTTTGGTACTTGCTGGTCCATTAGTGACCTCTCCTGGATGCCAACATTCTAATATGCAAAGCAGATTATTACCTTATTGCCCAATTATTACTGATCCTTACTAAACATGCTACAGATATTGTGTTTAAATTATTTCTTTTTCATTTAATATATAAAGTCCTTGTGTGCATCTTTTTGCATGGCCTGTGTAGCAGGAGAAGTTGTCCAAGCTCTAATTGTTACCGTACCTATTGCTTCTCTCTGTGCATCATATAAAATATCATGTACTTCTCTCCTTAAGGCAGAGGCATCAGACTTGGCCATAACAGAAGTATGACTGCCTTTATTCAATGATCTAATTGGTTAGTACTATTCTGTTTTTCCAAAAAATTTTATCCAATTATTTTTCATAAAGTATATATTGAGAGTAAAAATTTTGATATGTGTCTTTTTTTAAAATGTTTGGTACTTTAGGCATACCGTAAAAAAAGAAGAAAAAATGGGAATATAATAAATTGCCCATAATCCAAGTGTTATATAATTTTAGTTACAATACACACAGAATATAAAACAATGTTATCTGCAAACCAGTTTATTTGTATACAAGGCTTTTTATGGAGGCTGCAAGTGTTTTAAGAAACACTGTAGTGACCAAATCATAAATAATTAGGCAGGTGGCTTCCATTGTATCTGAAATGCTTTCACATGTGGAATGCAAGGGGTTTGAGGCCATGCAATTAGCATTCTTTGGGTATTATTATGGTTTATTTGCTAAGCACTTTCTTCTTGTCAAAGTGCATTCTCCATTCAAACAACTGAGCCAAAAAGCACATTTTATTTGTCAAACATAACACAGTCTGCTTCTGATGATAGCTTATTTGTAATGCAATATAATTTCTCTTTACTTTGTATCTCGACATGAAGAGTCTGTTCCAACTACCAGTGATTGCATAGGCCTTAGTTTGAAATTGTTGGATAAGCTTTTCAAATGGTCACACTCTGTTTCCTGTGTACTTTAACAATGACGTCTGTAGTTAACTCATTTGAAATGTTTATCCAAAAAATATTAAATTGAGACCATACTTATTGTTGTTGCATGTAGGACAAAAAGTATTAAGTTGTACACCCCTGAAATAGCACCTTATTTCGAAGTAGAATTTTGACATTGTTCACAAAACATCAGAAAGAAAAAGAAGAGTGAAAGGGGGACAGGGGTTGTACATAAACAGCATTACTCCCTATTCAGTTGTACAGACACTGTGAAACAAAAAATGACATAAAATAGTCATGTGAGGACTGTGAGATACAGACTTTGTATATTGGATTTACCTTGCCATTATAGTGTTGTTTTACTATACATATAGATGTATTATTTTTTAATCTTTTTTATGTTTAACTAATAAAGTTTACTTGGTATATTTTAAACATACTATTGGCATCCTTTTCTTGCTATTGAAAGAAGGAGTGTGGACCTATCTACATTCACTATTTCATGTGAGCCTATTTGGAGGGCTCTGGGTCTGATAAGAAAAAAAGAGAATACCATCTAAAGAATGGAGAGGGTTGCCTTTACAGACACTAAGAGCGCAATAAACAGAGCTTAATCCATTAGCTCTTTAAATTGTGAGTGAGATATTTTATTCTACCATTTGGAAAACCTTATTTTATGGTTTACACTATGTTTTGGTATTTGTCTTTTTTGTATTTTTAAGGTACACAGTACCCATTGGTAAAATCTAAAAGGGATAAATCTTAAGGTATATATATTTCCATATCCTTCTCAGCAGTAAGAAATCACTTCAATATATTATTAGCACTTCACCATCACACTGGTTGATTTAATAATTTGTTTGCTACATTTGAGTGAATATGTCTGATCAAAATAGATCAAGAGCTATCAGTGAAGAAATATGAAACATTTTGATAATATATAGGTTTTATCACCTATATTTTTTATCAACAAACTGGACATTTCACCCATAAATAAAATTGAGAGTGTGTAGTGCAGGTTCAGCTACATATGAAAATGATAATCAATTCCTCAATTCCATGTTATATTTACTAGAACAAAGCTTGTTTCCAGCTGTACAGCTGTACATTTATATATATTATATACGTATAGTATGTAGTGCTATTTGCATGGTGCATGAGATAGTTCACAATAGACTTTGTGTGCTCTGCTGTCTCTGCAGACAAGAAGACCCTACACAAACAAGCTTACTGTCTATGAGGAATGGCTAAAGACACGCAAGAGAAATAAATAGCATTTCAGAGGGGGTAGAGATTGATGGTTGATACCTGTTGTGACAAACTCCCATTCCGACGTGAATTTGCCACTAGCTCCTGGAGGGGCCTGCTTGCCAGCCTCCTGCCCACAGACTACGGGCCCTGCAGGGAAACCTTCAAAAGACTAGCAAACTTGACTGACCGTTAGCACTGATTTCATGGAACTGTTTTAGGCATAGGACCATGTGTACGGTCGGTCAAAATTATGACTTCCATGAAAATTCCGAACCCCCCTGAATCGATCTTGGTAATTTTTGAATATGTTGGTCACCCAGATTGAGGTTATCAGGGGATGTAACGTTTGTGTATTTTTTATGTGTTTTAAAGTTATTTTGGGGGTTTTGTAATATTGTATGTTTTTCTGTGCCTGGAGATAATTTAGTTATTTCAGTTCCTGACTCAATTATCTCTTAGGTACAGAGGAGAAGTTTGTAACTTGTAACTAGTCCCCTCTCAGGTCGAGTCAAGGGATTATCCTGCTTGTGTGGGAGTGTCAGGGGCGTGTCTGAAATTGTATAAAAGCAGGCCATCTGGCCAGATTAAAACATTCCAGCTTGTACTCCCAGAACTATGTGTCGTCTGTTTACTGGGAGGGGAAAGGGCTAATCACTGTTCCAGCGTGTTCCAGCATGGAGGATTCAACGGGGAAAGTCCTTGTAAGGACTAGAGCTCCCAGGACTCAATGTCGTCCAGTGCCTGGGAGTAGATAGAGCGAGTTCCCCATTCGGCTCCAGGACAGAATGGTTCCAGGAGCCATGGCGACTGTGGGCAGAAGTGCTGTGGTTTGTCCCCTGTTCCAGCTAGGAAGCGATCCTTGGCGGAGGTACCCAGCCGGGGAACAGGGAGCTCCGTTACACCTTTATTAAAATAAACTAGTAAAAGTGGTGTGTGGAAGAACTGAACAGTGGCAGGAGAGAGAGTGAGCTGGGCTACAAAGGAAAGGGAATTGATGGGGGAAGTGAAATAAGGGAAGCGCCACCCAGGAAGATGGCAAGCTTTCTCAAAAAGATTTGTTTTCAGTGACGTATTATACTATACACACACACAAATATATATATATATATATATATATATATAAAAGTTGTGTATATATATATATATATATATACATACATACACACACTTACATGTGTAAATGCAACTGAAATTTGTTGTATATAAAGATGTATTTGTGATTTAAAACCTGTCAAAATATTAAGCACACATTTTCTATTTGAGTTGAGGACATAATACTTGTTCACTCACATTAACAGTGTCTGTAGTGTTCAGTAAACGCAATGTGTATACTCCAGTGGAAATGTAGCCAGCCTTGTAAGCATCAGCACAGTCTCTGAAAGTCATCTGCTCCTGTTTAGGTATGTCAGGGATATCTGTAGAAAGGTGGAGAGTGCAGGCTCATTGTCACCTAGAATACATGGGTCACATCTGGGCGCAATATTTTACATTTTATATTTATGTGCGGTCTTAACAATTTAATTACAGTTAAAATATAGTTAATAAAGAATCAGCTAACAATAACAAAGATACTGTGCCTAAATAGCTGTGCAGCCTCATCACTGATCTGATACATGGGAAATTGTCTTTAAATTTAGACATCCAAAACTAAATGCAATCAAGTAACTATTATTAGTGTTTGGATGACTCTAACAAAAATGTAGCACCAAATTTGTAAAACTGAGGCTTCCTTAAATCACGCTTTGAACTTTCATGCACAGAGTAAATTAATTGTAATTGTAACTAATGGAAACTCTGGCTTTAATGGAAAATGCTTAAACTCAAGAAATAGCATGCAAATTGGATATTCATCACAAGTCATAACAATGTGACTACAAATACATATGTGTACACTCAGTACCATGATGACATTGTAGGACTGTATGTAAGCATAAAGGTATTGTGTTCTTAGACAAATATGTAGACGTCAGCAATTTTATACCATGTACTGGGCCAAAGTTGGGATATGTAGTGATATAGGTTTTATGTTGCCTAGCCGTTGTGATTTAGTATTTACAATTGAAAATAAACACAGATACATGATCATATATGCCTTTTGGCATTTTGAGTCACATAGGACTTTGTATATTTGAAACTCAATATATTTTTGTATCTCACTCTACTAAGGACGTAGATTTAAAAACATTCTGAGGTATTCACGGTGAATAAGTACATACGGTTATATTGGGACACCAGATCGGCAAGGTGCCCCATACTTTCCATGATGTGTGCCTGTTGCCTCTGTAACATGCTGTTGTTGAGGGTTGCTGCAGTGAGTTGCTCTCCCAGTTCTCCAATTAGATCTCT